TGACTTCAAGGTTAATCTTAGCTGCAGGTGGGACCCTGTCTTGAAAAGATGGAGGCAGAATGAAGAGCACATGCTGTTCTTCCAGAGCACCCAGGACTGGTTCACAGCACCCGTGTTCCGCAGCTCACAGCTGCCTGTTACTCCAACTCCAAAGGATCCGAAGCCACCTTCCGGCCTCCAAGAGCACCTGCACACACACAAATTCACACATTTTAAAAGATAAAATATCTTGCTGGGCGTTGGTGGCGCACACCTTTAATCCCAGCACTCGGGAGGCAGAGGCAGGTGGATCTCTGTGAGTTCGAGGCCAGGCTGGACCGACAGCCTCCAAAACAGAGAAACCCTGTCTCGTAAAACCAAAAAAAAAAAAATCTTTTAAAGGAGAAATGGAATTCTAAAATCAGTGAGTTTGTAAGCAGAAAGTAAAGATGGGAAAGTCCTGAAATCCAGGGCTTGCTGTGCAGGAAAATCCGCAGCTTCTAGTCTCCAAGCAGGAAATGCTATAAGCAGCAAAGACTCTTGTGACTGGGCCTCAAGGTAAAAATCAGTTGGAGAGCATGGGTTCCCACTTGAAGCTGGTACCCTCAGCCATGGCCTTGAGAAAATCGTGGGAAGGAAGCAAAGAATCAAGCCTGCATGAAGGCTGTCAGGGAAGAGCCATGAGTGCTGCTCTCCTCTGCTTACAAGCAAGTGCAGAAAGGTAGTTTGGGCTGTAGGCACAGGTCAACAGCTGTGCACTTGTCCAGCATACACAGGCCCTGGGAGGGGAAGGGAAGGAAGATTGCTAGTGAGGCTGGCATGCCAAATGAGTGGCAGGCTAGTAACAAAATGGCTGAGGAGCTGTGCAGCCGTTGAGGGTTCCTTTCCTGGTGGCTGAATTGCTCTAAGCAGCTGGAATAGTTTTGTTTCTTCCAGGCTGCTTCTAGACTGTTCACTCTGAGCCCTTTCCAAGCAGTTGAGCTGTGGTTGGGGTGGGGGGTGTCTTTGCAGCTGGGCTTGCCTGACAGTGACTCAGCAGTCTTCATTGCTTATATAGTCTTAGGCAAGGAGGGACCTAGTTGATCCAGTCAGTTTCAGGGACTTCCTGAAGCCATTTTGAGTTTACAGCTTCCCTGAGAATGGTGAGTCTCACCTCTCTGTAGACGTTCCGTCCTAAATGTCCTGTAGTGTGACTTCTCTTTCACATTCCAGCACCCCTCTGAGTTAAGCTTTCTAGGTGGCTCAATTCCTGCCCTTGGAGCTTTGTATTATCATCTTAATTTTTCTCTACATCCTTCCTTGGTCTGAGAACTCATTTGGTTCATTATTTTGGTGTTTTGAGAAAGGGTCTCACTTATACAATCAGTCTGCCTCAAACTCATACTCTTTTTGCCTTAGCCTCCTGTATACTTAGATCACCAGTTAAGATCGCCAGGCTCTTAACACCTGACTCACTGAAGTGTGAGAGGATATGTGTAAGTATTAATGGAGATGTTACAGCTCTGTGGGGAAGGTAGCTACCCCACTAGAGGTGTTGCAGCTCTGAGGGGGAAGGCTACCCCAATGGAAGTGCTGCAGCTCTGAGGGGAAGGCTACCCCAATGGAGGTGCTGCAGCTCTGAGGGGAAGGCTACCCCAGTGGAGGTGCTGCAGCTCTGAAGGGGAAGGATACCCCAATGGAGGTGTTGCAGCTCTGAAGGGGAAGGCTACCCCCCAATGGAGGTGCTGCAGCTCTGAGGGGAAGGTTTCCCCAGTGGAGGTGCTGCAGCTCTGAAGGGGAAGGCTACCCCAGTGGAGGTGCTGCAGCTCTGAAGGGGAAGGCTACCCCAATGGAGGTGTTGCAGCTCTGAAGGGGAAGGCTACCCCAATGGAGGTGTTGCAGCTCTGAAGGGGAAGGCTACCCCCCAATGGAGGTGCTGCAGCTCTGAGGGGAAGGTTTCCCCAATGGAGGTGCTGCAGCTCTGAGGGGAAGGTTTCCCCAATGGAGGTGCTGCAGCTCTGAGAAGGTATCCTGACAGTCAGCCGTCACACTACACAACAAACAACACACACACAACCTGTTGGGAAAGATACAAAACAGCAACCTCTGCTTGGATGAGAAGCAGCAGGGAACTGAGCAGTTCACAGTCTTATATAGGGTTTCTTTCTTTTTTTTTTTTTTTTTTGAGACAGGGTTTCTCTGTATTGTTTTGGAGGCTGTCCTGGAACTCACTCTGTAGACCAGGCTGGCCTCAAACTCACAGAGATCCGCCTGCCTCTGCCTCCCGAGAGCTGGGATTAAAGGCGTGCGCCACCAACGCCCGGCTTATATAGGGTTTCTTAGGGAGGAGTTTGCCAGGGTAGAGATTGGTGAGATTTCAAGCCCAGCCCAAGGATTGGTGGGTTTTCAGGCTCAGGGATTGGTGGGTTTTCAGGCTCAGGGATTGGTGGGTTTTCAGGCTCAGGGATTGGTGGGTTTTCAGGCTCAGGGATTGGTGGGTTTTCAGGCTCAGGGATTGGTGGTGTTTGATGGGTTTTCAAACCCAGAAGTAGACTTGGACATTTTACCTACAATGTGGACCTAGCAGAAAACCTGGGCCTAAGAAAGTCTGCAGTCCCACAAGGTAGGGGCCATGTTCCTGTCACCTTTGCTAGACATGCTATGTCCACTGACTGACAAAGTCACTGTTGTGTCAGGAACCACCCCAGAAACTGTCCTGCCACTGTCTTAGCTTTCTAGAATTTTGTCAACAGAATGTGGCCCATAATTTCTCCACTTACAAAAACCAGTAAGCAAAAATGGGAACTTACTCAGAGCTAGCAACCTGTGGGTTAACATCTAGAAATCTGTCCTATGTCTTATCACCAGCTGGCAGATTACGTAAGCAGGGCAAGGGAACGAGGCCAGCCAATCATTGGGGTTCAGGTTTGCTCAGCGTCTGGTGGTCAGTCCTGTTTCTGAGAGTTGTGCTATCTGCGCTTCTCTGGTTACCAACCGTCCTTCTTCCTTCTGTGCTGCGGGTGTGCTCTGTTCCCTATCAGTTTCATTGGCCAGCGTCCACATTTCCTGCAAAAGAGATTTGGTTTAATGAACTTAGCTGATTCATTTCGGGAGGGTGGGGGAAGGGTGGGCAGTAAGTGGTTTCATATCAACTTTGCACCTGGTGCCTGGGCCTCGAGCCAGAGGAGCATATATGAGCCGTGAAGTTTCCACCAGTAAATAAATCCATGGGTGCTTCCGAACCCGCCTTTCTGCCTCAGCTGCACCCATGCCAGCTGTCAAATCAATGCTGACAACAGGTAACAGAGACCAGGCACGGGGCCAGGACTGCAGCCTAGAATGTGTGCACAGGACAGCCTCCTGGCGGGATGTGGGGCCTAACCCTCTGCTGTGATGGAGGCGGGATGGGAAGGATGGGTAAAGATAGACTCAGCCTTAAGGCACCTTGCCAAACAGCACCCTACCTAAGCCAGGGCCTTTCTAGGTAGAGTAAAAGACACTAAGCAAGCAAACAGACAGCTCTACTAGTTTCCTGGACGGCTGTAACATTCACCAGTTTCGGCAGTTTATTTAAAAAGTAGTTTGTTCCTACCATTCTGGCAGAGAGAGCAGTACCGTCTGCAGGCTCTTGAGACCCAGGCTCTGCCTCCTTTAAACTGCAGTGCTTGGGGCATCACACCTCTTACTTAAGGCTCTGTCCCTGAACTAGCACTGACTTTATAAAGGAGACATGAGATTGTGTTTAGGGCCTTCCCGGGTAACCCTCAAGATCTATAAGGTAGTTACACCTTCACTATATAAAGTGGACTCTTTGGCCCAAGTATGTGACAGGTGCTTGGCCTTAGGACAGGGACCACCAGCAGCTGTGGAATGTCACTATGTTCACTTCATCTTCCTACTAGTTTGGAAGGCTTGTGTTTACACTTTCTACCCAGAATTGTATTTGTATTTAGAATCATTCTACTTTTGGAACAGGGTTTCTCTGTGTAGCTCTGGTAGACCAGGCTGGCCTCAGACTCAGAGATCTGACTGCCTCTGCCTCCCCAGTGCTGGGATTAAAGGTGGACACTACCACCACTCATTCTCATTCCCACTATTAAAAGTGCCTACAGATGTCTAAGTGGTTAAGAGCATTGAAGAGGGCCTGGGTTCAATTCCCAGCACCCACATTAAGTGACTGGCAGCCTCTTGGAACTGCAGTTCCAGGTAATCTAATGCCCTCTCCTGGTCTCCATGGATACCTGTATGAGCATGGTGCACATATGTACACCATAAGGCACACACAAAAAACTGATGTCTACATTTCCTCAAGTCAAACACGCAGTGGAGTTGAGCATGCTCACATAAGTCATGTGGGAGCCACCTTGTGATTATAGGAAGCAGGGCAGGGTGGTGACCCCCCTGGCCCCAGCTCAGCTTGCCCCTCCCACCTACACTGTGTAGGTGTCCACTTCCGTGCAGGTGACAAAGCGTATTCTCTCCTTTTGTGAAATGAGTAGAGTTTGGACCCAGCTTCACTCTGCCAGACTCCTTCTTATCCCAGGTGACTTGCTGGCTGTGACTCTCTCCAGGAAAAGGCCCATGACCACACTGGGCCATCAGGGTATCATTCGTGAACGGTGGAAAGGAGCAATGCCTTTTCTCTGCTGAGATGCTAAGAGAGCATAAGTTCAGGCATGGAGGCATCGGAAGCCACCCCTCAGTGGGGCCTTTCCCAGCTACCGAGCAGCTACATGAAGACTAGCAATCTCAAGACTCTTTAAACTCTGGAGACAGTTTGCTCAGGCATTTGCTCCACCCACTTTGACCTGTCTACAGTCGGGGGAGGCCTGACTAAAGCCAGGAGCTGGCTGGTAACACCAGCAAACCCCAGCTTTGAGTTTGCAAAGGCATTGCAACACGTGCACTCAGTCTTAGTTGGTAGCCGCTGTTTCAGAGACAGGTGTGTTCATTCTCAGTTCTCAGACCAAGAGTTGTTCTGGGCCATCCAAGGCCACACAGGTCTCCACGTTTCCAGGACAGATGACAGAAAACAAGGATGGTCTCAGTGCATGTGTGTTTATTGAGCTGCTTGCTGTGCTAGGGAAACCGTAGGGGAAAGAGGCTATTCATTCAGTGGGATGCCAAGCAGGAGGGGCCCGAGTCTCTCTCCAATGTTTACACAGCAGCTTGTCCTAAGCAGCAAGCAATGCCACTGCTAGGTGGGGTTTAATGGTGAGTAATGGCTGCCTGGGAGGGTGTTTAGGCTTCAGTGCCAACTGGAAATGGTCTTGCCTGTCGCGGTCTGTCTATGTGCCCTGTCTGCTCCAAAGATGACAGTTCCAAAATCTAGGAGTGGGGGTAGTCTCTGCCCTGCTCTATAAGCCCTGGGGGCCCGGTGAGCTTCATCTACAGTAGGTGACCATCTCAAGAAAACAGCCAAGACACCTAGAGGCTTTTCAGTCGGACCCTCAATCCAGGAGACAGGCACAGGGGTGTATGAGACCTGAGGGCAAGGCAGTCTCATTTCAGTGAGCAGGAGGTGTGAGCCAGATGCGTGGCAGTCAGCTGTGCTGTCCACGGCACACCTTCCTAATCAGAGCAGTGCTTGGAGAGCCAAGGCAGTGAGTATGGACATCGAGGACACCTAGGAGGTGAGGACGAAATGAGCATTGCTTCTGCCTCCATCTCTTCTAAGTCACTCATGTCCCACCCTGGCCTGAAGGATAGTGCAGAAGGGAATCGTGCAGAAGCTGCCAGCTCCCCACACCCACCTGTGGGAAACGGTACCCAGTGTTCTGGTAGGGGTTCAGCCAGTCCTGCAGAACTGAGGGCCACAAGGTGTTAAAGGCCACCATGGCACCATCTATGGAGTGGAGACATCCAGAGAAGGCTTGGCCAGGAAGCCCTAGGAAATTGGCCCCCTCCTTTGGGACAAACTGGGACACTCCCTGGGACCTGCAAGGCATGATCTGAGATGGGAGGGGCATATTACATGATGGCTGTGTGAGGGACCCACAAACTGCTCGTCTTCATCTTCACAGGAGAGGCTGACAGACGTCACCCCCACTTTACAAGTGAACACAATCGGGATTAATAAGAGTTTAACTTTCAGCTACTAAATGGCAGAGACCAACTCCAAACAGGCCTCCAGAATTTTGGAATTAAGTAAGCCATTCTACCTACCCCAAGGCAAGAACAGCAGCATGAGTGGAGAGCCCATCAAGGAACCTCCTATTAGTGCCAAAGTGGGAGTCTCAGCCAATTCCAGTTTTAACTCAGCCCTTCCAGCCCCTAGGGACCCTTGACACTTCTAGAATTCTCTTGTGACCTGCAGTCTGGAAACAGCAGCTCCTCGAAGAATGTCGGTTTCCTTCCATCAAAAATGGGCTCACTTAAGCCAGCAAGATGACTCAGCAGGTAAAGGCACTTGCCACTAAAACTGAGGACCCTAGTTCTACTCCGGGGGACCGCACGGTGGAAGTAGGGACTCTCACAAGTTGGCTGCTGACTTCCGTTCATATGGCATGTGCACACCGCCCCTCGCCCACGCCAAAAAAAACCAAAACAAACAAACAAACAAACAAACAAAAAAACATAAACGTTTTAAGGACTCTCAGGGACCAGGCGGCTTGGACTGGGCCATAGACATCCTGGCTCTCCAGCCCCTCACCCAAGCAGGGGTTCCTTGTAAAGAGCTTGTGGAAGGCTTCGCACTCTTCCAGCCGGTTTCCGCTGTCCCCACAGCCGCACCAGGGCGCGACTTGCGCGCTCACGTTGTCCAGGTAGTTGGGGGTGACTTCAGTGCCTGCAGGGACCCCAGGGCGCCTGATGGGCTCCCCGAGCCCGCCTCCACCACCGCCACCGCCCGCCCGCCTGGGCCCGCCCGGCCGGCGTACCTATGAGGCCCGCGTAGGCGAGCAGACAACGCGGGCCCCGCTCCTCCGGGCAGCTATCGCGGGAGCCGGGCGCGGGAGCGCACGAGGCCTGGAAGGCAAGGAGACGAGGCCTGCGCGCGCCCGGACGGCGGTGAGAGGCCCGGCCCGTCCCGCACGCACCTGCACAGGCGGCTACGCTCGCAGCGGTCCCGGGCCTTCAGGCAGGAGGGCGGCGCCGACCCGGGGCCCGAGAACGCGCAGGCCGGAGCGAAGGTTTGACGCCGGCGCTCGGCGCACGCGGGGCTCTCGCACCCGCAGAAGAGCAGCGCATGCGTGAGCGCCGGAGGCCCACGGGCGAAGAAGCCGCGCAGGGCACGGCGACAGCGGGAGCGCACGCAGACCCCGGGTCCACTCCAGGCCCCCGGTGCCGCCCGGCCCAGGCATCGGGCCACATACTCCGAGCGCAGCTGCTGGCACTGAGCGTCTGCTGTGCACGCCTCGGCCGCGGCCACGCAGCGATTCCCGCCGGTGGAGCTCGCAGACCCTGGTGAGGGACAGGCAGGCTGCAGTCAGTCCCCCGTGCCTGATTCTCCCCCATTCTGCACTACGGAGTCTGGGGTGCCCAAACCCAAGGGAGAGAGTGTGGAACGTAGGCATGACCTGCTGGCGCTGACTGGACTTCATCCTGAGGAGGGTAATCCCTCATGTTGTAAGTGGATGTAACACTGGAAGGCTGGGTCTGGGCTTTCCCCAGAATCTGAGGTCCAGCATCCACCACCATCTCCAGTACGGCCACAGGCTTCCACAGAGGATCTATTGGGCTCCTTCCATCCTCCCCAGCTCCACCTGACAGGACCCTGAGGCTAACTGATCCGTTTTTGAAAATGGCACCCCTCATCCTCCTTTTGACACACTGATGTTCCCTCCTCTGATACATGGAAACCCCATGGGTGAATCTACAAGTTTCTGGTCCTCCTTCCATCCCGACCTGTACCTCCTGCCCCCTGTGCCAGGTGCTTCCTCGTGGGTCTGAGTCTAATTTATCCTGCCCCACCTCAACTCTGGTTTTGGACCAGCAAAGGGGAGCTCTAGGCATTGGGTTCACTGGACGGGTACTGTGTGTTTTAGGGCACATTCAGACCCTGGCTTCCAGGTGTGGATTCAGACAGACAGCTGACGGCAGGCTTCCTCCTGAGGCGGCGACCTGGACGTTCATCAGTAGTTTAAATGAAGACATAGGCAGCCCAGTCGGGGAAAAGAAAATGCCTGACACTTCACATCAGAAGTTGGTAGACCTGGCAGCTGTGTCCAAACTTGCCACTGGGCATACCTAAATCCAGCCAATCCAGGGGGTCTGCCAAACTCCCCGAGTCACCAAACTCAGGTTTATGGGATTTCCTTTCCCTAGCCTCTGGCTAACCCTGGCCTGCCATCCATCACCCTTAAATGTGATCCACTCAACATGACACATCTCAGCTCTAAGGTCTCCTCTGCCTAAAAGCTTACCAGTATCCATCCTCCACACCACACTCAGAAGGTAATCCCTTCCCTTCCGTGATGCCCCTGGTGGAGAAGGGGCAGTCCTGGAAGGAGGAACACGAGCTGTGAGGCACAGAAGTCACAGAGCTATGAGGCACAGAGTCCTGTGGAACTCCCCAGAGCGGGCACTCTGAAGACCACATTGGGGGCGGGGAGAGGAAGGGGAAAAGAAAGTTCCTGGGGCACAGGTATCAAGGCTGGACTTGGGAGGGGTGGCCCAGGGTTCCAGACAGTGTACAGCAGGGGCAGAGTGTTGGGGTCCCTGGACACAGAGCACAAGCCATTCCAAGCATGCCTTTCGGCATCGCGGCGTTTCCTGTAGGCATTCCCAAGCAATCCCACCTTGTGCCTGAGGACTGGAGCGGAGAGGGCAGGGGCCGGGACAAGGAGCGGACGGGTTCTCACCCAGCAGCTGCAGCAGCAGTAGCAGCAGGGCAGACCCCAGGCAGCAGGCCATAGCGACTGGCAGAGCCCCAGCTGGACCGGTGCCTCCCTTCGGGAACCTCTTAAGCCTGGAGGGCAGCGGGAACCCTGGTGTCCGTACTGATAGGTGTGTCTCCACGGATAGAGGAGCCTTTATAGAGGAGACCACACCCTACTGTCATCACTTTGTCCCCACCCCCAGACTGTATCTTCAGGCGGATCCAGCGTTACTAAGCCGGCCAGAAACAGAGCACTAGACTGCCTGTTGTACACAAGCAGTTGGCGTCTAGTGGGAACAAGCCCTGGGGGGAGGGGTGCTTCGTGAGACTCAAGGATTAAACAAGAATTGAACCTCACAGGTCTGGGAAAACTGAAATGTGTGAGGACAAGGTGGGATTGCTTGGGAGTGACTAAAGGAAACGCCGGAATGCCGAAAGGCATGCTTGGAATGGCTTGTGCTCTGTGTCCAGGGACCCCAACACTCTGCCCCTGCTGTACACTGCCTGGAACCCCAGCTTTGTGTTCAGCTGGGCCACTCCCTCCCAAGTCCAGCCTTAATACCCGTGCCCCTTCTCAAGGTTACAGAAGCAGCTGTGGGAAGAAGGCCTGTGACAATGACAGGGAGGGCTGTCTGCCAGCCATGACGAGAGCTTCTAAAGTTACCATCCATGTTTGGATGGGTGTTTTGGTGACATTTGTGCCCCTGTAAGTAGCCCATCACCCATAATAATTTAAGTAATTCCAATAAACTCATTTGCCAAGTTGGACTTTCGTAGAATGATTTCTTTGGCCTGTTGTCAGATCCCCTGTCTGAGATGAACAGGTGTTTGCTACACTCCAGGAAGCCTCACACACACCCAAACACACCCCACAACACTCAACAACTCCAGGAGACCTCAGGCTGAACCAATAACTAGGAAATAACAATCGTTGTTTTTCTTTCTTTATAATCTTATTGTCAGCTTTCATCCACCGGTTTTACACGAATAGCAAGTTGTGAAAACATTGACGCCCCGCAGACTCTAAGCCCAGCTCTGTGATGTGGTCATGGCATGAGGATCAACACTTGGAAATTAATTGTTGTGCAGCACCATGAGGTGAACTGTAGGCCACCGAAATTCTCCAGCTTTCCCATGTGTGGCCTCTTTGTGTTTCAAGACTGGGGCACAGCGGGATAGACCTATAAGCCTAGCACCTGGAAGAAGCACTTGGGGAGGTGGAGGCAGAAGGAGGCCAGCCTGGGCTACACTGAGATCTCATTCTCAAAACACAAAGGGTGGCAAGATGTTTCGTTGAGTAAAGACTCCTGCCACCAAGCCTAACACCCTGACTTCAGTCTGGATCCATATGGCAGAAGCGAACCAACCCCCTAGAGCTGTCCTCTGACAAGGCATGCTCCCCCCAACACATAATTCAGTAAAGTGAAAAAATCATACCCGGGGTTCCACACTGCATTGCCATGCCTCCTCCCAAGTGAGGCAGTCTCTCAGTATTTTGTTTATCTCTATTCTTTAAGCAATAGTGTGTGCATGCATGTGTGTGTGCATGTGTATGAGTGTGTGCATGTGTGTGTGCATGTGTGTGAGTGTGTGTGCATGTGTGTGCGTGTGTGCGCATGTGTGTGAGTGTGTGAGTGTGTGTGCATGTGTATGAGTGTGTGTGAGTGTGTGCGTGTGTATGCATGTGTATGAGTGTGTGCATGTGTGTGAGTGTGTGTGCATGTGTATGAGTGTGTGTATGTGTGTGAGTGTGTGTATGTGTATGAGTGTGTGCATGTGTGTGCATGCATGCATGTGTGTCAGTATGCATGCATGTGTATAAGTGTGTGCATGTGTGTGAGTGTGTGCGCATGTGTATATGCATGCTGTGCACACGCCCACCTCGCTGTCAGCTGTTTCAGCTGGAAGGGCCAGCAAGCCCCAGGGTTCCTCCTGTCTTCATCTCCCCTCCTGTCTTCATCTCCCCTCGGGGTTGCCACACTCAGCTTGTTACAGGATTGCTGTGGATTGAACGCCGTTCTCCTGCTCGTGTGGGGCTTTACCAGTTCAGCCGTCTCCCGGACCCTCTGTAACGGGAATCTTGGTGTTAACTGAGTTCATTGGACGGGGAAAGTAAAGAATTGACTGTCCAGGGAAAGCAGACCAAAATGTGGAGAGGGCAAAATTTTATGGAGCTCAAGTTGACATCTAGCATCAGGATAGGAATGGAAAGAGAGCTGGGAATCTGCCTGGGTGCTCTTATAAGAGTCCTATTTCCCTCACCTTCCCACCCAGGTCCTCCCTCCCACTAATCCCACAAGAAAGGAAGCAGCCCTTTTAGGAAGCCTGTCCAGTTTTCCCTGTATATTTTCTCTCTCCTTCACCTAGACTCACCCTTGATAAGAATTCTGCCTGGGTGTTTTCTGGACTCTTTCTACTGAGTTACTCTTAAATTTCCTTCTGGTCAGAGACACGGCATTGTAAAACGTTTAACTTTATTTTATGTGTCTGTGTGTATGCTACCTGAGGCCAGAAGAGGGCACCAGATCCCTAGAGCTGGAGTTGTGAGCAGCTCTCGGTTACTGGGATTCAAACTCTGGTCCTCTGGAAGAGCCCTGCGGGTGTGGAGGGCCGGGGCAGATGGGGTAGAGCTTGCCAGCTGCTGCAAAGCCCAGGGTGGGACTGCCTCGTGCACTGACCTGGGACCAGGCTTGGGGACTGGCAGATCCCCGGGCCCGGGGGGTCACATACTGGGCCAGCAGTCAGCCTGAGTCAGTGCAGGCAAAGCACTATATGTTGGAGCCCTGCCAGGAAGAGAAGGATTGGGGTTAGAGGAAAATGTTCAGCACCTATTTTAGTCCACTTGATAAAACCCAATACAGCCTTCTGAGTTGTTATACAGCATTGAGCCTAAAGATGATTTTCCTTCCAATGTTGAGGAGCAGCAGGGACACTATGACCCAATACAGGGTTACAGTGTTCCACAAGAACTTGTTGAGCAGCTGAAAAAACTGCCCCAGAGATGCAGCAGTGCACGGTGGAGCACCCTGTCTGCAATAGAGCTGCAAGCGTGTGTCTGCAGCTTCGCCAGCTAGGCCCTGTAGCAGAGAATGCCCGCAGTCAGCACGAGAGAGAGCGTGGCTGTGCTCCAACAAAATCCTATTTATGAACGCTAAAGTTGATGCTAATTTTCACATTCATAGTTTTATTTTTTAAAGCTATTTAAAATATAAATACAATTGTTAAAGAACAGGCCTGGGAAAAGCAATTAGTGGCCTGGACTGGGTCTGTTCACCACAGTTGGCTCTCTCCTGAGCAATGACAGTGAATAGGCTGGACTTGGCCAGCTCACACAGCTGGTTCTTTCCCGTGCAGGCCTGTAGCTGTTGTGTGCCATAATAGAACTTTATAAAAATATCTCCTTCATCCAGAGAGACTGAACTTTTGCTGGACCTCATGTCCAAGTTAAATACACCATGAAGTCACTTAGGACTTAACCTGCTGTCCTAGGGTTCTCAGCCTGTTTATTTAATCTCCCTTTAAGAGAACTTTGTAAAAACCCGTTTAAAGAAGACATGTCCTCTCCGTGGTGTGGTAGGAGGAGGGTTTTTGTTGTAGGTATGAGAGAGAACAGGCAGAGGCATGGGGAGGGGTATCCAGAGCAGAGAGAAACAACTGAGCGTATCCAGCAGACCAAACATGGCAGGACTATGTGTGAGAGATGGCAGGGGACAGAGAACAGAGAAACATAGTGAGCAGGAGCAGAGCAGAGGAGAGGGGTGGAAAATGTTAGCTGAAAAAGCAGGGTTATAAGGAGGGTGAGTAGCTGGAGGGAGAGGAGTCCACGAGCTGGAGTTTAGGGGAGAGGGGAGGTGGGGAGGGCCTCGGTGCCAGCATGGACTTTGAAATATGTAACAGGTACTTGTGACACTGAGGGAGCCTGGAGGCAGCATGGGCTTTCATATGCTGATAGGTACCACAGTAACCATTTGTCCCTCCTGCCCGTGTGATGACTCCTTTTGGTAAAGGGGAACATGTTTCATAAGTTCCGGAGGAATGCTGGCTTCTACTTAACAGAAATCCTCCCGTAGTTCAGGCTGAGCTCCTTTCTAGGTATTTGAACTGCCTTTTGGAGTTTGTAGAACTGGAATGTCCTTTGGACCTGACAAAACCAACTTTACTTGCCTTGGATTCCCCCATGTAATCTGCTTTTACAGTCTAAATTAATGCATAGCTTTAATCTTAAATTATGTGCTCTTGCCTGCACCTGGCCCAGATTAATGTTGTATGCATGTATATGTTGTGGTCATTACTCACTTAGCCTTCTAGTCTGGGAAATACATGTATCCCAGGGCCTTCAGCATGCCCTGCCCCCTCCAGCAGGAAGAATGAGCCTTTCTGATGGGGGCAGGGAGGATTTCCCTCTCACTTCCCTTGGTCTCTAAGGAAAATGCCCCCAAACAACTCAACTGCAACCATCTGGGTCTGATGGAGCCATGCCCTTACCTTTCCCTAAGCTCAGCTACCAAAACTGTTGTCAGAGTCTGCACACCGCATTCTCTGTGCCCTTGATCACCTGAACATCACCTCTCTGGCTAACAGCAGGCAGCCCCGCTAATAGACATCAGCTCTTACCTCTGAGACTGAGCTGAGTCTTTACTCTGTGTTGTCTCCCACTGGCTTCCTTTTTACACTTGATGCAGAAAACCCAGGAGGGGCTTCTTGACTGGTGCGATTGGGCTCCTATTTGTCACCTTTCCTAATCTTCCAGGAGCCACTGGATCCTCCCAGGCTCTCCCAGCTCACCAAGGCTGAGGGCCAGGATGTGGTCCCTGTACTAGGAACCCTGCCACCATTTCTAGTATCCTTGTTGCTTCGGGAAAGAAGCAAGGGGTTTAAGTCTTCAATGTTAGAAATGCACACTCACCACTTCTCTTACCTCTGACCCTCAAAGGGCCACCTTTGCCATTTGAGAGCCACACAAAACACTAGCCATCTGCCTGATGTCCTGGAGGTAGAAGTAGGTAAGGGCCAGGGCTGATTTCCAGCTTTACTCTCCTTTCAGACCACAGGGTCTTTTGTTACTGGAGCAGACAGAACAGTGTGCAGGACTCAGAGGGACCCAGACACCTGCGCCACAGCTGACAGAAC